GTTTGGCGCAGACGAACTCCTCGCGGGACTCCGCGGAAAAGGCTATTCTCTCTCCAGATTTCAAAACCTAAACCTCTTGATGGACAATCGCCAAAACTTCGCAAATTGGATTCAACAAGCCATTACTGCCAAAGTCGAAAAAGCAGACAGTCCGCAAACCCTAAACCCTAAACCCTAAACCCTAAACCCTAAACCCTCGGCTGTCCCGGGGAGCCCTGGACCCTCAAGGCCGCCCCTAAGTCCTAAACCCTCAACTCTACACCCTAAGTGCTAAACTCTGAACTCTAAGCCCTACTCTCTAAACCCTAGGTCCTAAACCCTAAACCCTCAACTCTACCTCCCAAACCCTCAACTCTACCCGTTAAGCCCCAAACCCCAAGACGTGCCCGCCAGTCGCTAAACTCTGAACGTTATACCCTACGCTCTAAACCCTAAACCCTAAACCCTAAACCCTAGCGGCTCAGGACAAGAGTCTTTTGATAATTCCAATTTGAAAGTTCATTCGTTCATTGGATAGTGAATGAATGAACTTTCAAATTGGAATTATTTTAATTTCAAAATGGAAATTAATTTTATTTTTATTTTTCTTTTTTGTTTTCTTCAGAAACCCTCAGGCTCATGATTGCTGCATGCAGCGAAGGCTCTTTTTACACTCAGGGCGCAGCAGCCTGCACTCGTGAGGGTTTAGGGTTTAGGGTTTAGTGTTTGGGGTTTAGGGAATAAAAAGCAAATTCAATGAAGGCCTTTTCCCGAAGCCCCAGAAGAGAGTTTTATTGCTTTCAAAGCTGCGTGCCGGCGAGGAAATACAATCAGGGTTTTACTCGTCTTTCCCGCGCATGGGAATTCAAAAATTAGGGTTTAGGGTTTAGGGTCTGGGGTCTGGGGATCAGCGTTTGCTGGTCCTTTAAGGGTTTGCTCTTCAAGGCTTCAGGCCCAAGGTTTCAGGTTCAGGATTCAGGGTTTCGAGTCTAGGGTTTAGGGTTTAGGGTTTAGGGTTTAGGGTTTAGGGTTTAGGGTTTGGGGTTTGTTTCAGGGAAGCTGTTGCGGGAGTTCCGGCGGCGGCAGCTGCGGCTGGACTTGACGGTGTCTTCGAAGCCGACAGTTCTGAGCAGCAAAGACTTGACATATTATGACTGGTTGGGCTTTTCGGAAAATCTCCATTTTTTGAATTGTGAGGATTTTTCCCGCAAACTTTCTCAATTGAACCCTCGCTGCAGATTAATTCTCTTTAATTCCACTTTTTAAATCTTTAAAATCAAAAAAACGAAACTTTTTGAAGAAAAAGAAACTTTTTTCCACTTGAATCCATTCCGAAAGGGTGTCTGGGGAAAAAGTGGAAAATGGTTTTTTTTTTTGCTTCACCGACTTGCCAAAAGGGTTTTATTTGCAAAAAAAAATACAAAATAAAAGAAAAGGGTTTCGAAAGATACAAAATAAATGGAAATAAAAGTGTTTTTCGAAAGAGTGGAAGTGAAGTGCGCGCTGAGGTGTACGTACACCCGAGCGCATGACGCGAACTAAACGCCTTTTTCGTTTGCCAATTAAATGCCATTTTCTGTTTTTTTTGGGACTTTTGCAGCTACTCGCAGCGCTTCGCGAGCTGCTTCTACTTTATCTTTGAGAAGAAGAAATGAATTACTTTTGTGGACGGAAATATCCTTTTTGCTTTACCGAGCCCACGATACACCCTGGGTTCGGGTGTACAGACACCTCAAAAGCAAAGACACCACCAAACAGGCCCTCAGCGTCTTCGGAAGAAAATATGTCAAGCAGCTTTTCACGGCCATCCGCAGTTCGTTGAAGATTAAATTCATTTTATCTATTTTATTATTTTATTTTTTTGTTTATTTCATTTTAATTTATTTAATTCACTTCAAATCACCAAAATTCACACTTTCCACCTCTCGCTGCTTCTTGACAACTCGCCGGCTTGTCTTTTTCATTTTTTGTTTCTTTTGATTTGTTTCCAAATCTCAAATCAAATAAAACAGTTTTTAATTTTAGTTCAGTTTTTCAAATTCTTTTCTTTTTTTTCATTTATTCTTCTAAACTTCTCCAAATTTCTTTTTATTTTTCGATTCACTTTTCCAAATTTCTGGAAATTATTTTTCTCTCATCTTTTGCACTTACCCGTGTTTATCATTTACTACTCTTTATATATTCTATTATTTTAATTTACTTTAATTTATTTTAATTTAGATTTAATATTAAATTTAAATTTAAACTTATTACTTTCCTTCATTAAATCTATTTAACTTACTATTTATTGTTATTTAGTACTATTCGCAATGATTTATAACCATTAATTGCGATTTATTTATTTAGTAAAATAATTAATTTAATTAATTTAATTATTTATTTTATTTAATTATTTTTATTTATTTATTTATTTTATTTTGCTGCAGCTCTTCACCAAGCTGTGGCTTTTATAGACGAGGCGAAATTTCGGCATTATGGGGCTTTTGCTGTTACTGGCAAGACAAATAAAAATTAAATAATCAAATTAAATTAAATTAAATTAAATTGGTTATTTATTTTGATTAAATAATCAAATCGATTGATTGATTTGATTTTATTTTATTTGTTTAGTTTATTCAATTTAAATGAATTCAATGCGGCCAAAGAGGAGTCTCTTTGCCCCAAACCCAACAAATAAACCTCTTTGCAATTTATTCATTCATTTATTTACATTTATTTATATATTTGTATATTTATATATTTATTTATTTGTATTTATTTATATTTATTTTTCTATTTTTTTATTTGGTTTAGGGCTAATTGTGGATTACTTGAAAGAGAAGGGAATTTACATCGCGGGAAACAGCGCTGTGGGTCTTCGCTCAATTCGCCAGTCGAAGTCTTACAGAGAATGGCGGGAAGAAATGTTCATGTTGAAAGTTTCGAGAGGTAATTAATTAATTATTTAATCAATTTGTAATTTAATTTAAATATTTAATTAACTGTATAACTAATTAATTAATTAGCTTTTTAATGAGCTATTTATCTAGCTATTTGGTTAGTTACTTATATGCCAGTCGAAGTCTTGCAGAGAATGGAGAGAAGAAATGTTCATGTTCAAAGTTACGAAATGTAACTATTTATTTATTTATTTATTTATTTATTTATTTATTTATTTTATAATTTAATTCGAATGTTTAATTAACTAAATAATTAATTAATCAATTACCTTTTTAATGAACTATTTATTTAGCTATTTGGTTAGTGACTTGTTCTTCAGTGGAAGACATAGGGGACATTTTAAATCTTTTGATCTTTTAAATCATTTCAATCCTCTTAATCATTTACATTATTTAAATATTTTAAATCATTTAAATTTTTTAATTATTTTATTTTTTAAACTTTGAAAAGATTAGATGATTCAAATATTTGAAAAGATTTGAATCCTGTAATTATTGAAATCTTTTAATCGTTTAAACCATTTAAATCATTCAAATCATTAAATCTTCCAAATCATTGAAATCTATTAAACCATTCAAACCACTTAAAACACTTAATCATTTAACCATTCAAACAATTGAAATAAAGAACAAAAAATGAAAATAAAAATAAAAATGAAGATTTGTGTTGAACTCAGAAATGACATCTCCGCCTATTTCTGCGCTGCTGCTGTCGGAGTTGAGGGGCCCCCGTTTTGGGTCTCTTTTATTTCGGCAGTTAGTGAGGGCCCCCCTGATAGAAACCCTAATTAAGGGTTTGCTGCAGCGCGCGGTGGGTTGGGCGGGGCCCTACGCGTTGAGGGTTTGGCTGCAGCGGCGGGGGGGCCCCCTGGGGGACCCCCAGCGGCAGGAGCTCCAGCAGGGGCTACAGCACTCGGGAATTGAACCCCTTGAGAAGGATCCCAGCCCAGTAGCTAGAGAAGAGAAGCCGCAAGGCAGCAGCAGCAGCAGTAGCGGCAGCGGCGGCAGCAGCAGCAGTAGGAGATCGCTCTTGGGGCGATGCTTAGACGCATCAGTTGCT